GGCTGCGGTTCCAGTCCCGCCTCGGAAGTTGGGCTCTTGCTGGGCTGCGGCGTTTGTGGTCAGTCTCCGTCGAGCCTGCGCCTTTAGGCTCCAGTGCACTTCGTCTTGGGTGTGTGGCGGTGCGGGGGCTGAGGCTGTGCCCCCTGCCGTGTGGGAGGCCCTTCAGTTTGCAAACTGCCCTCTCTGTCTCTCCTGGGAGCCCCAAGGCTCCCCGAATGGCCGGTGGTGCCACCTGGCCTCCCTGGTTGGCTGAAGAAGAGACAGAGGATCTGAGTGGAGAAGGGCCTGGGGTGACAGGCCGGCTGGGACAGTCCTGTACTTCCCTCAGCAGCGAAGTGGCCTAGGCTTCAGTGTTCTGCACCGGATCCCCCTGACTTCAGAGCCGAGGGCTTCCTGCCCAGGTGCCGCCTTCTGGGGCCCCAGCTTTCCCCTGTGGGCTCACCTATCCATAGAGTGGGGAGTGTGACTCAACTCCGGGTATTGTCAGGATGTCACCAGCGCTGGGCTGCCACGTGCTGGAAGCTGGGCATTTGCTGTTTGGTTTTACAGCCCAGTGAATGATGTGGGTGTGCTGCCCATTGCCTCTGCAGCTCCTGTCTCGGGAGGAGGCAGGCATCGACCTGCACCAGGGAAACGGGTTGGCAAGTTTCTGGTTTTGAGGGACATGAAGAGTCATCACCATCATCAATCAGGGCCCACTGCATGGCCTGCTCCCCTGCAGGCCCTTTACCCGCCTTTCACCTTGGCGTATCCCTCCTAGTGGCCTCATTGCCAGCACAGGTGGGCCCACCCACTGCCCAGCCTGTCCTTTCCTTTCCCTCTGCCCTTCCAAAGTGCCCAAGAGGCTTCACCACCCAGGCCTGCAAGTTGGATGGGAAGGGAGGTTTTTTGTTGGTTTGTTTTTTTTTGTTTTTGTTAATCCTCACCAGAGGATATTTTTTCCATTGATATTTAGAGAGTGGAAGGAAGGGGGAGACACACACACAGAGAGAAAAACATCGATATGATGTGAGAGAGACACATCGATCGGATGCCTCCCTCACCCAGCACTGGGGATTTAGCCTGCAACTGAGGTACATGGCCTTGATGGGAATTGAACCCGAGACACTTCGGTGCCCAGGCTGACACTTGAACCACTGAGCCACACTGGCTCTGTTTTATTTGATTTTGGGAAAATCAAAACCATCTTTAACAGCTGGGAGAGTTCATGGGCACCTGCACACAGACATCCCTAGGCTTCTCTCTTGGGGATTTAGTCTCTCTGTCTCTCAGAGCAAGCTGGGGAGCAGTGCCCTCTTTAGTCAGGTTTGCGCCCCCAGGCCTCATCAAGCCCAGTCATTGCCTTTGTCTTGGAAAGAGCAGTCCTCAAATTTCATGTGCAGGGAAATTGCCCTTTAGAGCTTCTTCTTTTTTATTAAATACTAGAGGCCCGGTGCACAAAAATTTGTGCACTCGGGGGGGAGGGGGTCCCTCAGCCCGGCCTGTGGCCTCTCGCAGTCTGGGACCCCTCAGGAGATAACCACTTGCTGGCTTAGGCCCACTCCACGGGGGAATGGGCCTAAGATGGCAATCAGACATCCCTCTGGCAGCCCGGCAGCCCTTGG